TTCCCCGATCTCTTTCCCCCCCCCTCAAATAGTATAGTTGGCCTGGAATGGTTTGGGAGAGAGGGATGAAAGATGAAAGATGAGAGAGAGGCTGGGTAGAAGTTTGCAGGTGTCAGTATCAGTTCTAATATTTTCAACCTGGCGCCCCCTCTTTGGGGAGTGAAGAGATGCAATGGTGACACCTGCCCCCCAAATAGAGTCTGCATACGTCCTGCTCAGTCAATCCCCTGCGTCTGCAGGGTAATCAATGCTGGCAGGACTCACAGCTTTCCTGGACACTCCTATAATTTGGCTATGAGATATGGGACGCCGGACCCGTTTTCCAGCAGGTGATGCTCCCCACCAATAGATGGAGCCTCTCCTCGGGTGGTAGTGCGGTCTGCTCCTATCAGCTGCACTATCACCGCAAGGAGTGTTTAAAAAAAAAAAAAAAAAAAAAAAAAAAAAAAAAAAAAAAAAAAAAAAAAAAAAAAAAAAAAAAAAAAAAAAAAAAAAAAAAAAAAACGATCGACTGTAAAGGACCCGGTTCCCAACATATATAATCAAGCTCCATACTCTTTAATTTCAAAAAACAAGTCAAACCTGCTGCAGCGAAAAAAAAAAAAAGAAAAGGCAAAAGGGCACTTTCCCAGGCAGGAGTCGTGTCCCAAGGCCACTGGCCCAGGGCCCAGGAGTCACAGTCAACAGTCAAAGCTCATTTCCACGAGTGAAAAGTCGCGACTCGCAGGCCCAGGCAGCAGCACAGTGCACACCATTGGAAAATTCGGGAAAGTACCAGGCCCTGACATTCGGAAGCAGACAGGCCGTGGGCATGTGGTACCAGGCCGAGGTGAACCATTTGCAGCAGAGGCTGGGACAGCCAAAATGAAGTTTGAAGGCAATATAAGGACTGGCCAGCCTCTCATTGGGACAGATTGCTCATTCGCATGAAGTGTGGAAGTGCTGGTGCACTTGGGCGCTATTGTGAGGGGCAGAGCTCTGAGCCAGGACTCGGATGCTGCGCTAGGAGAGAGAGAGAGAGAGAGGGAGAGAGAGCGCTGGCAGGGAGAAGACTGCCATAGCTCCGCCAGTGCAGAGTGTTAGTGCTAGCTAGTATTAGTCAGTAGGCATAGCAGTGGGTGTATCCAGAGTAGATCCTGGAGTAGTAGTTAGTGAGTGTGCATGCATGTAGGGAGAGAAGACACAGTGAGGACATAGCTAGAGAGAAGACCAGTGAGAGAGAGAGGAAGACAGAGAGAGAAGAAGAAGAGCTGGGAAGAGATACTTACCTGAGAGCTGACGCTGGTTACTTGTTACCTTTGTATGTGCTGATGAGCGCTGGTGACTCGAACTTTTTCTTGGAATTCATAAGCTGCGCTATCTGGTTTTCAACTTTCTGGCATCCAATGTGGAAATTTGTGTCATCTCACTTGTGCTTAATGCATGTCTATGTGTGCACTCATTGGTGATGAACTGTGCGGTTCATAGCAGGCATTTCAAAAATTTTCCCTTATTTTATTCTTGGCTACCAGCAGGGCCGCCTGGGTCAAGGTGACCCGGCCGTGCAAGGGCAAGCCGCCAAAGTAGGTGCCATCAAAACAAAAACAAAAATCGGAAAAAAAAACTATGTCAGCAGAAAAATAAACTGAACAACTTTTGCCTCAGGGTCACATTGAAATTCCTTACCAAATTCTAAATAAAAAATAAAAGTTCAAAATTATTTTTTTATTTTTATTTTTTAATTTCATTTTTGGCGCAGCCTAAAGCCCCTAAAGGCATCCTGCTGGTACAGCTGAGATCGCCGGTTCAATTCCGTTTGGCTGCAGAATTCCGCCTAGCTGCGGAATCTGTGCAGATCTATTACTGGGCTACAATGATAACCCTACCAACAACAGGCAAGTGGTCCCGGGCCACTCCGGCAGCCTATATGTTTTTTTTTTTTTTTTTTTTTTTTTTTTTTTTTTTTTTAAGCTCACTCCGCCTCACTGTCATGTCGAGGCGAAGGAGAGGATGGCCAGGAGGCCCAGGAGTGTACGCTGGGCATCCAAAATCCAAATGATCGGAACGTTTGGCTGAATTTCGCACGTTTTGAGCTTCACGTCTGTTGTTACGGGCTACTTGGCTACGAGCGACTATCTTTTCATAATTTTTCAGCAATTTCCAGACAATGACTGTTGTTTCATGTCGATGTTCAAGCATTGATGCTGTTGCACGTCAGAGTCGTGTGCCGGACTCATGCTGTAATGTGTGAGTCATCTATTGCTTCTTCTTCTTCTGAATGCCAGGCTGACCTGAACCCGATGGACTCTTGGTAAGTTGGTAACCATGAGACTCCCTAATGAGTCACTATTACCAAAACCAGGGTTCAACCTCTGGGTGGGATGGTACAGAATCGAGGCCGGGCCAGCACCAATTCAGTGCTCCTCAGGCATGTGTCAACTTGAGTAAATGCAAGTGGCTGGGTTCAACTTGGCGTTTTGATGTCCGAAATCTTTTTTCGGTTTTTTGTGCCCAAAATTTGTAGTGGCCACTCGAAATCCTTTTTTGGTTTTTTGTGCCCAAACTTTGCCCTTTCGGCAAGAAGGGCAAAAAAACAAGTTTTCGTTTTTTTTGGTGCCCAAACTTTGCCCGTTTGGAAAGAAGGGCAAAAAACATAGTTTCAGTTTTTTGTGCCCAAACTTTGCCCGTTTGGCAAGGAGGGCAAAAAGCCAAAAGGGTTTTCAACGTTTCGTGGCCCATATAGAACAATTTTCCCCAGCATGGATGCGAGTAAAGGCGGCGATTTTTTTATTTTTGACCTTCTTTTTTGTTGGGAAACTAGGGATAACTGCAGAAAAGTGCAGTTTCAGTTTTGGTCTATCAGCAGATTTGTACCGGGTTGATATGTAGGGGTGTGTTCCCGGGCCCGGKGGTCTCATTGGAATGGAAAATGCTWTGTTTCTCCAAAAAAAAAAAAAAAAAAAAAAAACTGCGGGTCGCAGAAAAGTGCGGCCGCAACTGCATTTACGAAAACGGGTTTGGGGCATGCCAACCAAAAAATGCAGCCGCAAACCTGTTATTGCAGGAAAGTTCACCTTTCAATTTTCAAACGCCAGGCTCGTTTGGTCTAAGGCCAGGTCCAGATAATTGGACCAGGCCAGGCCTTAGACCAACCCAGCCTGGCAGGGAGGGTAGGACGTCAATCCAAAATACGCTGCTTTCCCGCACGCGCTGCCCCCATTCCCTTTCCATGCAGGTTGAGATAAGTACGCACGCTTTTAGCCATCTGCGTCCGTGTATGTGAGCGTTCTCTCTCTCTCTCTCTCTCTCTCTCTCTCTCTCTCTCTCTCTCTCTCTC